CACTGAAACCCTGGGTGTGGTACTGTGCGTTAATACAGTGGACTGCAAAGTCAGTTTGAAATGCAAGGTCAGTGGTTCAGGCTCACCAGCCGCTCCTTGGAAACCTTATAAGTTGGAACCCACTTGACAGCACTTAACAACACAGAAACCAGAGCAATCTTTTAAAAATAAGAATCTAATTATATCTTTCTTCTGCTTAGAATCATTCCATGGCTCCCATGGCTCTTAAATTCAGACGCCTATGCACAACCTCTGAAGGTTTTCATGATCTGACCTTTGCCTATCTCCGCAGCCTCCTCTCTCACCTTACACTTCCGCATTACCAAATTGCTTCTAGTTTCTACACATACCATTCTGTTGCTTTCTCTTTCAAGAATGACCTTTCTGACCCTTGGCTGTCTAACTTCGATTCATCCAATAATACCTTGCACTTATAAAATTATATTACTTTATGTTTACATGTTCATCTCCCCAACTAGACTGGGTTCTTCTAAGACAGGGAGTCTGCTGTGTTCATTTTTCAGCATAAGTGCTTATTAACATATAGTGCTATATAAAATGTGTTGAATGAAGACTCAATTCCCAAGTGCAAAAATTACATTCATATTCAACATAGGGCACATTACAATGTGCCAGATATAGCTAAGTGATTCACATAATTTCCTCATTTATTCCTTAAGATCTCCCTGAGACAGTCAGTATTGTTAACCCTTTATTCAAGGAGGATTTAGAGGGAGGTAAAGTGACTTGTTCAAGATCACACAGCACCTTGTTTGCTCTAGTCAGAGTCTTCAGCCCAAGGTCAAGCCTGTGCATTCAAGAGTGTGGCCAATTGCCAGCGATCCTCTTTCTTCTTAGTAACAGAAGCCATCTTTTATTTGAGGTGACAATGTGCCTGGTTAACAGGTGACCTTCCAGCATCCCTTATAATTAGGTGTGGCTGTGTGACTTAGTCCTCAGGGGTTTCCAGAAATCTCCTTCTAATGAAATGTGGATGAGATAACTAAACTCCAGCAGCTGTCTTGAGCCACAGAAGCCACGGTAAAAGAAACAATATAGAGAAATAGGAGCCTAGGAATCCTAGTGTGGCGCTGTGGGTTAATGCACTGGACTGCAAAGTCGATTTGAACTGCAAGGTTCGTGATTCAAGCTCACCAGCCGCTCCTCGGAAACCCTAGACTTAGACGGCACTTAAGAACAGGTTTCATACCTGCCATGTTTTTAATGTGACAGTAAAAAAAACCCAAAAAACACACACAAAAACAACTGCCTTGCTAAACCACAGTAGTAGGGCTCTGTTACACAGTCAAATCAGATACTAAGAGTCAGGTTGAAACCCACCCCTTCTGGTTCCCTGGGGGCTGACTCAGAGAAGGCGCAACCAGCATGGGTGGTATAAAGTGTTTCTTTATTTGGACATCATTCCACCTGCACTGAAGCTCAAATCTAGCAGCAGCAGGAAGAGTCAGGACCGAAATAGATGTTGCCAAATTGGACAATGAAGAGTAAGGACACATTCAGACAGACTCACTAACAGGGTGTAGACAACACCAAGCTATCCTACCACACACGCGGAGGACCTCTGAGGTCCTCGGGTCATAGCTCCAGGGAAGCACCGTGGCTTTCTTGCTCCTTTCCCAGGAAAAAACCCATTTCACCCAAAGGTGAGCATAAATTTCTAGTGCTGGGAAGATCCCAGCTTCTCCAAAGAGGTTTCTCTTTCTCAGCTCACACTGGAAGCTGAAGAAGGGTGATTTTCCTCCATGCCCAAGCAGAAATCTCTAAAGAAGGCCTGAGGGATCTTCACCCATAGTCTTGTCTAAAATCTCGTCTTCTTAGTTATTTATTCCAGGCCTGAAAATGATCTTGATCCTACCCACGGCCCTCACCACCACAGAAAACTGTTTTACCTCCAAGGATTCCTAAAGAGAAGTTTCACATCTTCTAAACCTGAAGAACTTCACTGACTCACAAGATGGGCCAGAGACAGGACAACCTCCGGACTGTGGCTGCTTTGGTCTATCCCAGAGGCCCCAGACTAGGTCAGACCACTTTGATCCAGCACAGTTGATACCTACGGGCTCCTTAAAGCTCAGCTTCTTTTGAGACCTAAAGCAAGAAGGTTCCAGGTTAGAAACCAAGAGACCATCCCTTCCTGGAGATTAGAGTCAAATTACCAACCTTGGCTAAAGCTAGACCACAGACCTCCCCTTCCTGCCAGATCTCCTTGCCTCAGGGGAACCATCTGAGGTGGTTTGGCAAGGTTTAACATCCCACTGCAGACCTAGCCTATTAGTGGCTCTGTTTTCACATCTGTGAGGTGCTTGGGGCAGGGCTATGGTTTGGTGCCTCTCTGTCCTTTGCCCCTTCCCTTTATTATCCTGGGGTTCTGTCAGGCTTTAGCCACCTGAGCCCACTTTCCTAGCCCCACACTCACTGGTCATGTCTCCAAGCTGCCTCTCCCTCTGCCAGGGCAGCAGCTGGGTAGAAAGTGACAGGGAAACATTAGCTAATCTTCCTCTTCTCTGTCACCTGACACCAATCCTATGCTCACTCACCTGCTGTCTGTGGTGTGGCTTCATCCCATGTCACAAAGGTGGGGGCTGGGCCTCAAGTCTCCAGCCTCTTGTCTTCTAAGGGGGCAGCTCTAACCTCTCCACCACAGATCAGGGGTCTGGTGGTCCCTTGGATAGGAGGTGTCCTTGGGGAACAAACCCTCCCCTCACCCAGTGCTCACTAGTGTCTAGACAGCAGCACCCCACCCCTATCCCCCATTACCTTCCTCCCCTTCACCTTTCTTTTCTCCCTTCACCCACAACCCATTTCAGTGTCTTCTCATCATATGCCTCTTCCTGTCTCCCCTCCTTCAACTGAAATTCTCTTTCTGTGCACCCTCCCCTGCCCCCATCAACTGTGATGTGGTCTTGCTCTTCATCTCTCCTTTTCCCATCTCTGTCTTGCTTCTTCCCTCCTCCTCCTTACTCTGTCCTCTCATCTCCCTGTCTCCTTCCTTCCCTACCTGTCTATACACCTCTCCTCTGCTCCCTCTTCTCCCCTCAGGTCTCCTCCCATCCTAACTACTCGTCCTGGTCCCTCCCCTCACACTCTCTCAATGCTGCTACAACCCCTGCAGCCTCCAACACTGGACTTTGGTTTGGATCTCTGAGGAGCTTACTCCTGCCTCCACTCCTCTGAGGCTTCCTTTACCCTCCTATTTGACAAGGGACCTTGGTGGCATAGCCCCATCCCCAGGCAGCCTGTTGAGGGAGGCCCCAGCTGTGCAGCCGCAGCCAGGGGCTCAGTGGATTCAAGAGAAGAGGCACAGTGCTAGGGCCAAAGAACTGGGGTTGGGGGCAAGGGTGGGGGTGGGGGTTCAGGACTTGGTAAGAATCCAACAGGATCCAGTGTCTGGTTCCAGTAAGGGTCCAGATGGAGGAGACCGACAGAGGGTTTCTGGGTCTTTCTTGAAAGTCCTAATCCCCTAAAGTACAGATCTTATGGATATAAACACAGGTTGGCAAATGCATAGCACACACACTGTCCCCCACCCCTACCCCCTTTGGCTGAGATAGACAAAACTTGGTGATAGCTGTACTCTTCCCATTGGGCCTGCAGGGGGCTTCCTGCTCCTCACCAGAAGATCCTTCAGCTGCTCCAAAACTAGGTGCTGAAAGCAGCTGTCTAAGCCCCAGGGTGGGGAGGGCTCCCAAGACTAGATGGCTGTACCCCAAAATCCACAAGGTAATGAGCAGTGTTTGAAAACATCTAGAGTCTCCCTCATTTGCTCCCTGTCAAGGGGGAAGAAGATACCCCCACAGTGGGGGGCGGGGAGACTTCTCAGCTGCTCCACACACACATTTACACACACATACACACACACATTCATGCCTTGGCTCCAAGCACTGCCCATCAGGCTGTGGACCCTGGGCATATCGCAAGGCGAGAAGGTGGGCTAGGAGGAAGAAGAGGCAAGGACAGGGGGACAGGCCTGGGGGTGGGGACAGGGGGTACCCTGTTCAGAGGTGACCTGCAAGTTCAAGTTATGCAGAAAAGTATCAAAGAGGCAAGGTAGTCTCTGCCCTTAGCAGATGCCCGGGGTGGGGGGGCATAAGAAGAGGCAGGAGTGACATATTCCCTAATTCTCCACCCCTGGGCCCCTCTCCCCACCCCTCAACCCTGATGACAGGACCAAGAAGTCAGTGCTGTACAAAACAGGTCAGGGGCAAAGGTCACTGGCAAGACACCCCAGCAGAGAGGAGGCCAGTCTGGCCCAAGGCTGAGCTGCTTCAATGCTCCGGGCTTCTGAGGTCAGGCCCAGCCCAGAGGAGTCAGAGCACCCGTCCTGTTGCCAGCAGAGCCTTTCTGTCTTTTTTCAGACTGTGCTGAGCAGGACCCCAAGTCCACAGATGGCAGGAGACCCTGTGCTTTCCCCTCATTGCTGCTCAGATTCCTTTGGGAGAGCTGGGAGCAGGCTCGAGTGAAAGTAGCGGCCTGGAAGGCTGGCGGCACCTGGGGTGCTGTGACAGATGTGGTAGAATCATCAGCAAAAAAAAAAAAAAAAAAGTAGGAAAGAGTCTGGTCCACCAAAGGGTCCAGGGCAGTATCTTGATGAAACTTCTGTGGAAGGCAGGGACCAGAGGATGCCAGATACTGCCAGGCAACAGCCTCCTGACGGAAGGAAACTGTAGTCATGGAGCCACGGGCCTCCTTCCCTGAGGGGTCCTGCAGGGAGGCCAGGCTAGAAGGAAGAGGAGAAATCCTAGGGACTGTGGGGGCCAGAGCTCCCTTAGGTCAAATGAGGGAGGAGCCAGAACTGGGTCCTCCCAGGGTCCACAAGTGCTCTCCCTGCTCCAGACCCCTTCCAGCCCCATCGTCTCTTCCAAGCCAGGCAGGCAGTCCGCAAGAAGTCAGTCTGAGAGTGGGAGCTTGATTGGAGGGATGAGCGGGCAGGAGACAGGAGAGGCTGAGGCCAGGTCAACTCCTGGGATGCGATCTGGTCTTCAGGGTCCCTGGGAGTGAGCCACAGGACACGGGAGGACCCCCCATCCGGAGACATCACCCCCTGGCCGCAACACAGAGCTTACTGTAGAGCTCACAAAATCTGAGAAAGAAATGAGTAAGAGTCAGAGACCACCAGGGCATTGGGGCTCCCCTAGGTCATTCCCCAGGGCAGGGTGGGCAGAAGGGAGACCTGCAGGAACTCTGAAATCCCAGAGCTTCTAAGCAGCCTCAAGCAAGTCCCAATTTCCTTGTCTGTAAGATGAGGATAATAATATATTTCAGAGTAATTCTGAAAGGTCAAAAGGGTTTTACACAGAGCCTGGCACATAGCATATGCTGTAATTTGTAGCAAAGAATTTGATTTTTGATTTTTGTTTCAGAGATCTTTGATTCAGCACAGAGCTATGAGACTCGTTCATGTTGAACTCTTCCAACCTATCAGGCTCCTGAGTGAGGGAGATCTCCTGACATTCAAGAGAGGCAACTGATGTAGCAATGTTAGATCACTTTTAACATTGACACTTAGGAGCTTTAAGGAGAAAGCAGAGGAACGCTGATGGGGTCTAGCTCACACCAGTTACCTGGATGCTACTCAGATTTAGAAATGCCAGACCAGCTGTCTTTGTTGCATTTCTGGAGCCGCCACTAGAGGGCAGGCTCTGACTTCATGCAAAGAACATAGAAATTACTGTGCTTTGAGGGTCTCTTCAGGGAAGAGCCCAGAGAAAAATGACACCCAGAAGGTCCAGAAGAGGCGGCAGGCCATTTCTAGCCTAACAAGGCTGAGACAGGAAGTGGGTGCAGTGGGGGATGTTCTTGAGCTTTGGACCTGGATCCGGGTTCAAATTCTGACTGTACCACTTAACTTGACCTTGGGCAAGTTACTCAGCTGCTCTTAATCTCAGTTTTGTTTGTAAAATAGTGATTGTCATGCATACCTGTGGGGGTCTTTATGAGGCTTGAAAGCCCTTACTGAGCACTCACCACAATAAAAGGACAGTTTTACTTCCTCCTTACACAACAGCGCTGTGAGGTGCTACAACTCTCCTCAACCTCAGTGTATACATGGAAGAAGTGAAGATTGAGGAGGTAAAATGATTTTTTAGTTCAGCCTGCTTTCAATGAAGACAATCTATCTCCCCAGATCAGGAGTTCAACTATAATATAAACAAGCTCTTGTCAAATACTGTGCCAGCATTCTCTTATTTGATCCTCACTACCATTCAGAGTCCTTGTATGGCTCTGTGTGTTAATGAGCCAGACTGCAAAGCCATTTGAACTGCAAGGTCGGCAGTTCAAGCTCACCAGCTGCTCCTCGGAAACCCTATACAGGGTCGCTATGGGTAGGAATCGACTTGATGGCACTTCACAACAACAACAACCATTTGTCTCACATACTTTGGGCATTTTATCAAGAGGACATCATGCTTAGTAAAGTAGAGGGTCTTTGAGAAAGAAAAAGACCCTCAATGAGATGGACTGACACAGTGGCGGGAACAATGGGCTTGAAGGTTGGAACGACAGTAAAGATGGCACAAGGCCAGGCACTGTTTCGTTCTGTGGTACATAGGGTCACTGTAAGTTGGAACTGACTCAATGACACCTTAACAACAACAACCAGAACCATTATCCCCATTTTATGGATGAGGAAAGACTACAAGTGATGGATACCATTAATATAAAGTGCCGAACATACACACAGCACAGGCTAAGAGCTCAAGGAATGGAGTAACTATTGCTACCATTTCTCACAGTAAAGAACACACTCCCAATACGCCGGTTTGGGCCCACTGCTGCAGGCTCCCATATGGATCAGGTACAAAGTGGACTTCTGAGTCAGAAGTTAGCTTCTTTGAGTGTAAATTGGCGCCATGTCTTTGGAGAGCAATCTGGCACTGTCGTTACACTTTTAAGTGTTTAATTCTGCTCTTGAAAGATATCAAGAACACACATGCATGAGTAGATGAGGAGACATATATAGAGAAATATGATTATAGGAATATTGGTCATAGTGAAACACTGGAAACCTCAGAGTCCCCAATAGGAGAATGGTTAAAACAACAAGGGTTTAGTCATTTTAAATAATACCAAGCAATAAGAAGAATATCTCTAGGGAATGATAAAGATCTAGAGTCTTAAAAAGTCACCATAGGAAGGATTCATTTAGGAAGATGTCATTTATGTTAGCATATAACAATATTACATATTTGATAAAGGGTCATGTCATGCATGTAGACACATAGAAAAGGGTCTCATAACTGCGGTTACTCCTGAGGAAGATAAGGAGGGTGTTAAGAAAAGGAGGCTGTGGCCTGGTGGGTATTTTAAAGTTACTTGAAATGCACAAAATGTTATATGTAATACACTAATTACAAAGTGTTGTAGGCTCAACACTGGACTGTGAACCACAAGGTTGGCAGTTCAAACCCACCAGCTGCTCCTTGGAAACCCCATACAGGGCTGCTTTGAGTCGGAACCAACTTGATGGCACATAACAACAACAATTGTAGTAAATGCCTGTGACCTCACCACACAGCGCTATAACTTGACCAGTAACTTGGATATGCCTACATGTCCCTCTCTACTCTTTGTGGCTTCCGCTGCTCCCATCCTAACCAGTGATGGACACCATTCTACCATTTGTATTTTTTCTTTCAGATATATATATTTAGTAAAACCATAAATTCTGTACGTGTAAGAAAACATTGCTGAGTTTTGCTTGGTTTTGGACTCAATAAAAGTGTCACTCCATCACTTTCTGGAACTTGATTTTTTCTTCCCTCTCAACAGTAAGTTTTCAAGATATTGACGGTTATTCATAGTCAAAGTTTTGTACTATAACATAATATGAATACACCACCATTTATTTATCCATTCTCCTACTGATGGTCATTTACGCTGTTTTCAGTTGTTTGCTATTCAAAAAGTACCACCATAAGCTTTCTTGTACGTTTCTCATGGGTTGAGGCCCAAGTATAGGTTTGTTGGGTCATGTTGTTGCTGTTGTTAAGTGCCAACTCATATTGACTCTGTACAGGGTTTCCAAGGGTCTGCTGGCAGATTTGAACCGCCCACCTTGCAGTTCAAACCAACCTTGTCGTCCAGTGTTTATTCTCCAGTGCCACGGAGTACAAGTATCCCATTTTGAGGGATCCCGCCAAATTGTTTTCAAGGCGGTGTACTGTCTGGAGCAATACCGAATTCCACCTTACTTTGATGACCTTCACAGTAAACAGTCCCAACCCGAAGGCCCAGCCCCACAGCCCCACACTCGCCTTTGTTCTCCTGCTTGAGCTCCTCCCGAAGCAGGTCTGTTTGCCGGTTGCCCAGCACGAAGGCGAGGAAGGAGAGGATGAGAGCGTTGAGGATGCCGATGATGGCCAGGATGTATGCCCAGCGCACCGAACAGTCCCCCAAGGAGTACTTCCCAGTCTTGGCCCCGCACATTTCCCGGATCGTCTCGGCGTCCCAACCGTCGGGGAAGATCATGCAGCCCAGGACGAGGCACAGAGCTGAGGGGGCATGAGTGCCCACCACCACGGTCAGGGAGGAAGAGAGAAGGGGCTCATTACTCTCCAGAGCTTGTAGGCTACCAGAAGCCTCCTTGGTCGGGGCCCCAGCATGCCCATTCCTCCCCATCTACCAAAGTGCTTATTAACCACTTACTGTGGGTTCCATGGACACAGACAAAGGTCTGAGATTGGTCATTTGTTAAGTGTTGTCAAGTTGTTCAGACTCAGTGACCCTGTATAGGGTTTCCGAGGCTATAAATCTTTACAGGAGCCTCATCTTTCTACCCTCCAACTGCTGACAGTTTTCAACTGTTGAACTTGCAGTTGATTAGCAGCCTGACTCATAACCCAGTATGCTACTAAGGCTCCTTGGGATTGGTCATGGGGAGCAGAAACCTTCCAGAACCCTTTCCCTCCCACATCAAATCAGCTCAACCTCCACGAAGCCCTCCTGATTTCTCCAACCCACAATGCCCTATTTTTCTCCCTTTAAGTCAACTCCTACTCTAGGAAGCCTTCCTGGAAATAAGAGAAAATAGGAAACCACAGCCATCTCCTTCAGTTCCCTCTGGCATTACTGGCTATGCTTACCCTCTCCCATCTTCATCACATAAAACATTTTTTTTTAAAGTTTATTCAGTTTTTGAATGCCACTTTCCTTTTATTCAAGATGCTAGGAATATGTTCTCATTCATACAGTTAAGAACTACTCTAAGAGAGTAGCTGGAATCTGAAAGATGAGATTTGAGCCTGGTTCTTCCACCTTCTCAGCTGTAGGACAAACCTTTCAGGACTTGTTTCTTTGTACCATAGAAACAACAGCATTTACCTCATTGGGCTGTTGAGGAGTAAACCAGGCTACTCTTGTAAGACAGTACAGTGCAGCATTCACTCACTCGGGCCTGGGGGGCAGATATATGAGTCCTGGTCCCAATGGGCTTGCAGTGTAGCAAAATGCTGGGCTTCAATTCCTGCCTCAGCTATTTACTAAATGCATGACCTTAAACGAGTTCCTTTGCTTTTATGCCTCAGTTTCCTCATCTATACTGTGGGGATAATGATAGTATCAACAAGCAAATGCAAAAATCACCAAAGGCAGCAAATGTAAAGTGCTTGGGATAGTAAGTTCTCAATAAGCATTAGCTGTTTTATCCAAACTAGTCATAATGATAAAAAATAATAATAATAATAACATACATGAGGAAATGATGGGGAGTTTTGAAGAGAGAGGCAGAGAGAATGGGAGAAGAGGCAGGCCAAGAAGATCCCTCAAAATGGGCATCTGCTCATCTGCTGGTTCTCCCCTTAGCATTCTCTGACTATGTGTTTGTTGTTAAGTGCCATCGAGTCAATTCCGACCCATAGTGACCCAGTATAGGGTTTCCAGGGAGTAGCTGGTGAGCTTAAACTGCTGACCTTGCAGTTCAATCGGCTTTAGAGTCTGGCGCATTAACTCACAGCGGCACACCAGGACCCAACATTTCCATCCAGCCCCTGTGTTCTGGGTGGGTTCTTCTCACTGTGCTTAGTGTAGTGTAGGATAGGACCCAAATCTGAGCCAATCAGCACATTGCATTTCCCCTGATCACAATGTTTGGCTCCGAGAAAGGCACATGTCCCATTAAAGGCCAATCAGAGCAACCAGAGTTATTGTGCTGACAGAACTCAACCTCAGGGTGATGTGATCTTCACCTGCACACACAATGAGGTCTTTGGGTGAAAGTCAGTGCTGAAGTCTGTACTATTATCGGTCTGTCTAGATGCTGTCCCCTAATTATCCGTCGGAGACCTGATGGATCTCCCAGTTTGGAAGTGTAGGATCCTTGACCCTGTGCGAGGCCAGTCGGGGGCACTTTATTTGGGATTTAGATGACAGCAGTGAAATCTACAAGTGGAGATAGTGGTCAGTTTTGTTCACTGTCTATAATGCCTGTTGAGTCTCCAGAGTAAGGAAGTGGGGGGTGGGGGTTGGGGGGAAGTGTCCTCAGCTCAGCTTTGACACCTTGCTCCATGGGCCCAAGATTCCTCTGTCATCTGAATGGTGGTGGGTGGTCCTTTCCTCCCTAGGATGCATTGGACCTCCTCTGCCCTCTCCTGTCCTGCTGCTGTGAGACAGTCCTCCCTCACTTCGCACAATGCTGTACTCCCCACTGGGTTGTTGTTAGCTGCTGTTGCATGGGCACAGCATAGGCCATTGGTTCTGGGTCCAATGCTGTGGTTCACAGGATTTTCACTGGTTGATTGAAGGAGGAAGTCACCATGCCTCACTTCCTAGTTAGCCTTCGTCTTGAAGCACCTCTGACACATGTTCAGCATCAAAGCAATAGTCAAGCCTCCGTTTATAGATGGGAAGTGATTGCACACAGGGTGCATTGGCCTGGAATAGCCCTGGGCCTCCCGTATCTACCATGAACACACTGCCCCCTCCCCATTTTACTGTGGCCTACATCTAAAACGCCAACTCTTTTTTGAAGCCCAGCTATGTGCCCTAATACAGAATACCCACCTCTACTTCCACACAAAGGAGCTCTGGTAGCGTAGTGGTTACGAATTGGGTTGAGAACCGCAAGGTCAGCAGTTCAAAACTACCAGCTGGTCCACAGGAGAAAGATGAGGCTTTCTGCTCCCGTAAAGATTTACAGCCTCGGAAACCCTGTTCAGGGTCGCTATGGGTCGGAACCGACTCAATGGCACTTAACAACAACTTCCACACAGAGACAGATTTCCTCCCATCTCTAGCCTCTCTCCAACTCCAAGACGGTTTTTCCCAGCTCCAGGGAAACACACCCCTGCTTAAGGGCTGGGGAAGGAGTTCCAGGCAACGTATAAATTCAAGTGTGAAAGAGCCTGGAGAGCTAAAATACTAACAAGTTGAAGATGATGGTTAGATATTCAAATAGGCAAGTCCAGCGCTCAGAGCTGGAGATAGAAATTTGGTATATGTAGGTAGCCGTGGGCGTTTAAATCCCTGGGCCTGGATATTATGTAAACTAGAGAGAAGGTCCAGGACTGAGAGCTCTGGGATGCTCCGGGGGGAAAAAATGGAGCTGGAGCGGGCAGACAAGGCTCAGCCCATTTGCTCCCCCAACCCTACCCCTAAATAGACCCGACACTAGGAAAGACCCTCCAGTATCCTATGACAGAGGGGAGGGGAGCGAGAGAGAAGAAAGGTAGACTCCGTTCCAACCCTCCGCCTCACCCTTGGTGTCCTCAGGGCCCTCCCCAGGAGTGCACGATCACCTCACCGTCCCCCAGCGGGAGGCAGGAGTGTGTGTGTAAGCCTGGGGAGGGACTAATCTTCACAACTCTCCAACTCCTCTCAGCCTCCCACCATGGTGCCAAGGAGGCGGGCTGCCGCAGTTTCCTCCCCTGCAGGAGCATCCTGGTTTCCATGGAAACCATGTGGTTGAGGGGTTGCCGGTGGGTGGTGGTGGTGTCTCTCTCTTCCACCCTCTCTCTTAAGCTCTCTCTTCCTCATCTTTTAAAGTGGTCCCTCTCTAGTTGAGGAGCCCAGTGGCACAGTAGTTACAGCGCTCTGTGCCCAATGAAAGGTTAGCGATTCGAACCCAAGAGCTGCTGTGCAGGAGAAAAATGACCACAGCAGAGGAAACCCTGTGGGCAGGTCTCCTCTGTCCTGTTGGGTCTCTATGACTGAAATCTACTCCACCGCAATAGGTTTGGTTCCCTAATTGAATACCCATTCCTTCTTTCCTCCACACTTTCCATTTTTTATTTGCATCTACCTGCTCCTCCTGCCCTCTCAGTCTATCTTGCTCAAGTCCTGCACTTGACTGGTTCTTTTTCCGTCTTCTGTTTCAATCTCTCACATTTAACTTTGATGCAGTGTTCTCTCTCTTTTCTCTCTTCTCTATATCTTTCCCTTTATTCTTTCCTCTTCCCGCCTCTCCTTTTGGATACTGTGCCAAAATTGGGCTGTGAACTGCAAGGTCAGCAGTTTGAAACTACCAGCTGTTCCATGGGAGAAAGATGAGGCTTTCTGCTCCCGTAAAGATTTACAGCCTTGGAAACCTTGTATAGGGTCGCTATGAGTCGGAATGGACTCCATGGCACTTAACAACAACAATTATGTGCCAGGCCTGCCTTGGAGCCGTCTGGGACAGAAGCACATAGGGAAGAATAAAAGCATCATGCACACCGATAGAGTGTTGTTATTAAGTGCTGTGGAGTTGGTTCCGATTCATAATGACCCTGTATAGAGTTTCCAAGGAGCAACTGGTGAGTTTGAACCGCCAACCATGAGGTTCAAATTGACCTTGAGGTTGAGGCTCATCAAAGGAAATAATCTAGAGATCCCCAAATAACAGATGCCTGGGGGGCTATGGGGCTTCTCTCCATGTACCATTAGCCACTCCCTGGCTCCTTGCTCTGCATGGACCCAGGCAGGAGATATGGGGTACACTTGCCACTCTGGGAATACCCAGATAGGAAACACCCAGAAGTGGAACAGATGAGAAGAGCCAATCAAGTGGGCTTCCTGGGACCTCGAGAAAGAGATCCCGAGGAACAGCAGGGTAGTGACCAAGAGGGTCAACCATCAGGAGATGGAATCACTGCAGACAAGGCAGGCTTCAGGATCCTGTTTGCTGGATGAGAAAACTGAGGCTGAGGCCTTTAGATCCCAAGTTCAAGTCTCTTGGAAATAATGTGCTGACTGAGAGCCAGCAGCTGAAGAGGCACAGGCACTCGTGCAGAGACAGGGATGTCAGCGCAGGGTTTCTCCACCTCTGCATTTTTGACATTTTGGCCAGATAAGTCTTTGTGATGCTGGGTAGCTGTCATTGTAGGATGTCTAGCAGCATCCCTGGCCTCCAGATGCAAGTGGCAATGCCAGACATTACCAAATATACCCTAGGAGGCAAATCATCCCTGGTTGTGAAGCATTAGTATATGGCTGGAACCCTAAAGTGGTGTGTCTCCGTACCATTAACCCATAGTCCAAGCAGCAAGGTGACGTTGTGACAAAAATAATATTTAATATT